GAACTATGGGTACGACTTAATACTTCCTTGTTAACCATCTATCTAGCACCATTTACTTGGTTTGAGAACTTAATCCATTTTCTTGGGTTGAAAGCCCAATAGTTAATAAACCTGGGAGAATTCTTTTATTTGAGATATATATATAGTATATAACATAAGTATCACATATATAGCAAAAATTTTAAAATATATATATAGATCATTGCTGGTGTTCTAAGCAATGTAGGGTTTTCCCCTATAACTGTTTTGAGGAGGAAAGACCAAAGTCCTAGGATAAAAGTAGGGAAAAAAAATCATGAACTAAGGAGACACTAAGTCATTTGATAATAAATACTACTACTTTATAGTATTGATAATAATATTGATAATGTCAAAAATTATTGATAATAAATAATACCATATTTACAGTAATATACAGTTGATGTGGGTTGGATAATTTAGGAAAATTTGAGAAAGTGAACTAAAATTTTGAAGGGTTTGCATGGGTGGAGAAGATCAAGAGAAGATTCTGGGAGGCTGGAACAATATGAATAAACCACCAAAGTGGAAATACAGACAAGTATTGCATTATATTCATTTGTATACTGCATGGAGTAGGGCATAATGGGGCCCCATAAATGATTATGGAAGTGGAGAGTCTTGGGAAACCAGGTTGGATGAGAGCTTGGTTCTGGATAGTGGCTGGGGAACAGAGAGGAAGGGACAGAGAAGATAAACATTTTGAGGATGAAACCAACAGTACTTACTTATGATAAAATTAATTAAGCCCTCTCAGTTCCAAATGATTTCACTGCACCATGAGGGCATAACATTTCTTCTCACAGAATTTGTGTCAGGTTCAGCAGTGGTCCTTAATCCCAGCAAAACAATATCCCTTTATTGTGACCAATATTTTAGTGACCCTGTACTCTCCTCAAATGAAATTCATTATTAATTCATAATGAATAATTTTGAAAGTATCACCATAATGATTTGCTGTAACATAAAGGAAAACTCAGAGAAAGTGGTTAATATTAAAATATTTATTTTAAAATATAGATGTCCACATATGATCATACCAGAAGATATAATGATGTGGTCAGATATACCTATATGTAAATCATGACAGCTACCAATGCAGACCCATACGGGTGTGTTGTGCTAATAACTCAGATACCACAAGTGACACGGCCTTCAGTGGCACAATTCTCCAGAATGGCAGGTGATGCTTGTTAAAGACCCAAACAGAAGGAAATAGAGCCTCCCCTCAGTTACCCGGTAGTTGCAATACTAAGAATTCAAAATGTCTAAGAACTTTGAAATAGTTTTTAGACACTTCTAAAGTGTCTAATACTTCAGTATAGATGTGAAACAGAAATACTTCGGTATAGATGTGAAACAGAGTCAAATCCTGTGCTCAAGAAATTATAAGCAGGTTTCACCTACAAAAAAGTCCACTGGCACTTTGGAAAGTCTCGTGGGAAGTGGGGCAACTTTTTCATTGTCTGAGATGGAGGCCCTGTGGGACTTTGACCATCCCTGGATCCCATCCATTAGATCTGGGGAACTGAGACAACCGGAAGTACCCCCACCACTTGGCAGCCCAGGAGGGAGAGGACTGCCCCCACAGAGAACATTGGCTCTCAGGTTTCAGCCCGGTAACTCAAGGATGGTGGCAGACAGGGAAGCTGGAAGGGGAGGATTTGGGTGGCAAGCCCAGAAAAGGAGCTGGCTTCAGAGCTTTCTTCCTTAGTCGAGCAGAGTCTCCACTTCCTTAAATACGTCAAATCTGGCTTTTCCAACCTGGTGAGCGTTTTAAGTTCTGAGCCCAGGTAGAAAATAAAGTGAGGAAAAAAGACGATATTTTGTTTGGCATAAATGCAAACTGTTTCTGGCTTATTTCCTTTAAATGCTAGCAAATGCAGTCTGATTCCCTGCCTTCCACATTGGCTCATTGGCAGGAATGTATTAGGTCTCAGAATTCAGGAGAGATCTAGTTCTAACATGAATCCTTGAAACATTTTTGAAATTTAATTCTTGTTTTTCTTTAACTATAGATATGATCTCCTTCCATATTTTTCAGTTTTGTAAAGTATGCAATTAACATCTAATCCCCATTGGCATTTGCGTTCTGCACAATTGAATGTATTGAGCAGACATGCATGATTGTCTAGTATTATCACTGCATGTTGCCTTCTGCTTGGGTGTTTTAAACAAATGGAAAGGACTTGATCCCCTGAGAGTACTTCCCAAAAGATTTTGAGCCATTGATTTCCATTTAACAACGGTAACAGGCACATATACTCTTTTGCAGATACGAATGTGCTGTATTTAACCTGTAAATAGTCATTTGGCCCAAAGATATTGGGCACATTTCAAATGCATGCTGATTTATAATATTCCAAGGACATAAATCGGTTTGCAGTCTTATTCTAAGACCAAGTTTATTGAATAGCCAATCAGATGTATACTATTCAGGACAGCAGATTGAGCATTGTGAGGAAATCAAAAGTGAACTAGATGCTTTACACCCTCAAGGAGTCTGTTGTCTAGTAGGGATGATAAAATCTCACATATAAAAGTAAATGGTAAACCACTAGAAAGGTAAGATGGAGTGTGGATGAAGTTTCTGAGATGAAATAGTACTGTCCTTTGAAGAAGGCTTCCTGGAGGCGGTAGATTTTTAAACTTGACCTTAAGAATTCATTAAAATTTTGGCAGGTAGGACATGTTAAATTTTGAGGAATGGCTTTCTAAGCCGAAATACATTTGAACAGAGGTCATGAGTGTGTGTGCATGTGCGTGTGGCTTCTCATTCCTTAATAATACGCATTCTCCATGTATCGTCTGGGTGTAATTAAGTGACTTTGAATAATTGGTGATGTGATAAATCTCATTTGATCTTGCTGCCTTTCTGAAAAAGTCCTCCAATTTAAGAGCTAAATATAAGTTTTGCTTTTTTCCATAGAAGAATTCCCTTTTACCACTCTAGCTCTTGGGATCCTACTACCATTTCAGAAGTGTGGAATGTGCCTTTAACTATATTCATGGTAAAGGGCAATCAGATAGAAGGCAGATTTGCCAGGATTGTCATAGAGTTCAGTTGCTAAAGTAGAGAGATATTCTCGATACCACGTGTTTCCCAGGTATTGAACTTGAGGACAACACAGAAACTGAGCCAGGGGACCCCAGACCCCTCTGGTTCCATGCTCTTCCATTAGACTATTTCCAGTGGCTTGAATCAAATTGCTTCTGCTTCCTGGTGCTGGTCCAGACTTACCACTGTCCATCTCCCAATTCCTCTGGCCTCTACCTGTAACCCTCACCTGTAGTCTGGACATTTGACTAAGAGCACGTTAGTCAATATGAAATCTTGGCCAAAAGGACATGTTTGTCTCATGGAGAGATATCTGCACCCCACGTTCATTGCAACTTTATTCACAGTAGCCAAGACAAGAAAACAACCTAAGTGTCCATCCGTGGATGAATGGATAAAGAAAATGTGATACACATACAAAGGGGAATATCATCCAGCCATAAAAAAGAAGGAAATCCTGTCTTTTGCAACAACATGGATGGACACCGAGTGCATTAGGCAAAGTGAAATAAATCAGAGAAAAACAAATACCGTATGTTGTCATTTATATGCAGAATCTATAAAAGCTGAACTCCAGGAAAGAGAGAGTGGAATGGTGTCTCCTGGGAGTGGGCAGGGGTGAAATGCTAGTGAAATTGTACAAACGCCCAGCTCTAAGTTAAGTAAGTTCTGGGGGATCTAATGTACAGCACGGTGAGTATATGCCTTATTATATTCTTGGAACTTTGTGAACAAAGTAGATCTTAAGTGTTATCACCACACAAAAAAAGGGGGTAGTGAAGGGGGAAGGTGCTGGGAGGAGGGGTATCAAATCATCCCATTGTATACTTTAAACTTGTATATGTTATATGCCAATAATATCTCAAAAACATTGGAGGGGTGGGGAAGGACATGTTTGTCAAAACTTAATTATGTGTTGGAAATGTTTCTCTCTGATCTGGATGGTAGTTACTGATGGTATAGGTGTATAAATTCATCAGGTTGTACTTTTAAGATTTGTGCTTTTTGTGTATATTAATCCATTAGTAAGATAAAAATGCATTATCTTGGCCTCTAAAATGGATATTGCCAACTTTGGTCTATCTTGGGGCAATTTTGCAGTGATTTGTGCATTTTCAAACACTTAAAATAAATTTTCAGAATTTTTAGTGTTTTTCTTTTGTATCCCTTTTAAATCATTTTTCAGTCAATGAGTTGACGCTACCTAGTTAACAGAGGATTCATTGTAATAACAATGTAATAACATTGTACCTCTTCAAAATTACAAGCAGCTCAGTAGAGCAATAATTGCTTTCTGAACAAACGTTTTTGAAACAGAAGAAGGGCGTGGCAGACACCATTTCTGAAAAGAGATGAAAATACTTGTTTCAAAAGCACCTTTTTAATGCTTCAGGATTTCCAGTACTTAAATAGCTAGAATTTGAAACAATTGCCTTGCAACTGACTCATTATTTTGACCAAGTTGTCATGTTTACCAGCTTGCATTCAGTTTCATACTTTTCAGCCAGTACTCAAGCCAATTCTCCTATATTCCCACCTGATGGCTGTAGCCTTTGGTTAAAATTCAGACTGAAGTCTAGCGGTGAGCAAGCAGTAACTGTGTGATGATGTAAAAGGGAACAAAAATAGAACTTCCAGTAAAAGCTTTACCGTTAGCCGTGTTTCAGCACTAAAGAGAGAAAAACATTCCTTTCTAGGAGAGGGCTTTTGGGGGGGAAAAAAATCAAATTTGATGCCATTAAATTATAGGATTAAATTCATGAAGTCCAGGACCTGTATGAAAATTAAAGTTTAACTTCTTCCCCCAGGAAACCCAGCCAATCTCACCATCTTGGATGGATTTACCAATAGGATGAAGTAGCTTCTAAATGTTGTTATTGGTTTTGAAGGTAGCCATTTAGCACGAACTGTTTTATTGGAACAGGACAGCTGGGAAGTGGTGGAAGGGCTGAGAGGAGAGATGAGTTACACCCAGGAGCCAGCCATTCAAAAAGGATTTTTGCTGAAAAAGAGGAAATGGCCCTTGAAAGGTTGGCACAAGGTAAGACACTGGCCTTGGACTCATCTTTATTTGCACCCACTCAGTACACGGTTTGTAGGCGTGTATAGTGTATATTTAATTTGAAGTTGAACATTGGGACCAAGGGAAGGGTGTGTGTTTAAATGGGATGCCTTAGTGAATTACCCTTTCTTCCCTACAGAGATTTTTCTATCTGGACAAAGGAATCTTGAAATATGCCAAGAGCCAAACCGATGTAAGTCTTCTCCTTAATCGAATATGTTATTAAAGAATTCTGAAGGGCTCATTGTTGTCAGCCCATGGATGAGATTGTACACATTGGGGGATTGCATTTCTCTGAACTGGAAACCATAGGGGGTAATAGTTCCTTTGCATGGACCAGAGGTGCCAGCTTCCCACTGTCCCAGCCCTGGGTGGGCTCAGTTTGCCCATCAAGTCAAGGTGGAGGTCTCCTCTCAACACCCCAGTGGGTATCCAGGGGTCTGTTCAGTTCTTAGGGTTGGGCTGAGGGGTCCTCTGGGTGGGAAAAGACATTTTCCCAGCAAGCTAACAGGAATAAAACATAGGACAGATATCACTCTCACAGTTACAGTGACCGAGGGGTTTGGTGGAGAAGGCCCTTGATGAAGGGGATAGGAAGTTCCCTGTTGCATTAACATGAGGGACACAGCCCACAAGGGCTGGAATGACTGTTCGTCCTATCCCTTGTATGGGTCCTCCTCTCGCCCAGCACTTCCCCCTTCCCTTCTTGCTTCCCTCGCCTCCCAGAGCTCATGTCCCCGGGTTGCCTATAGAAAACCTGACGTAAGGCCTGACCCACGGTGGCTTGTCTTAGCCTCCCACCCTTACTCCCCTTTTAAAATCACTTCCAGATGAATTTAGAGATTGGGAACTAATTCTGGGGAAGTCAGTGCAGGTAGCAGGTGAATTCACCGCCGTGGGGGTCTATCCATGGACTTCCTCCCTTGCTTACTTACTCACTGGCTGTGCGAAGAAAGCACTTTTTGCTTAACCCCCCCGTAGACTCAAACAGGTAATGCACGGACAACACTTAATTCAGTACTGGTTCACACTAAGTGCTTGGTAAGTCGTCGTTATTACATTTGTATTCGTGGATGTGAAGGGGAGGCTAGAGGAGCGTCAGGGATGTTACTACTGTTTTTAATAGTCTGCACCTCAACTGGCCCTCTTCTCACGCCTCTGCAGATCGAGAGAGAGAAGCTGCACGGCTGCATCGATGTTGGGCTCTCGGTGATGTCCGTGAAAAAGTCATCAAAATGCATAGATCTGGATACCGAGGAGCACATCTACCATCTGAAGGTGAGGCTACTTCCCTGGCGTGATCTTCTGTCCCACGGTTTCTTTCGGTTGCAAAGGGATTGTAATTACAGTGCTAATTGGTAATGCCCTTTGTTTATTTCAAAAGATCCAACCAACGTGTAGAAGATCTTCATTACGAAAGTTATTTCTAACAGATGCTATTGATACTTGGATGGACCGTCACACAGGCTGCCAGAGGTTTAGCATCCTTGTTGCCCACCCCGTAGGGACCACGCCCCACACATACCATGATTATGACAACAGTCAGTAATTACTAAAATTGTCGTGTTTCCAAATAACCCCTCCTTCCTCCAGACTGTAGCGCCTTTAGTGAAGAACCATGTCCCATGGGTTAAAGTAGGTTCCCTGAAACACAATATTTACCGCTTTAGCTAATTTTATAGGGATTCCAATAAAATTCTCATAGTACAGTGAATGTCGGGAACTTTTCTCCTAAAGTATGGGCCTCCTCCAATTAGTACCTCTGAAAGTGCCTCACTCGTCCCTTCTGCCCTCTCCCCTGCCAGGTGGTAGGGTCCAGAGGTCCAGATCTGGTTCAGATCTTGACCTGGCTACTTACAGGCTATTGGCCTTTGGCAAATTTTTTAATCCTGAAAGTCTCTGTTTTCTCACCACCCTTCCCCAGAATGGGAATTATTATAGTGCCCATGTTGTACTGCTGCATGGAGGAAACTTGGCATGATGCCCGGCCTGCTGTAAGCTCAAGAACTTTAGTTTTTGTGTATAATTATTAGATGGGACCCGAACATGAGGAGTTAATTGAGAGGATTTTAAAACTCTTTTCTTACTTCGAGCAAATTACTTGGAATAATGAGCGTGGGGGTTGGGGGTTGGGAAAATGAGCATGAGATGGTGAGCTCCATGTCTTAGGATGCCCCTGCTCTCCTCACAGAACCTGTGTGGTGCTTACACAAGTATATGCCTAATACATACATGTGGTCAGTCATGCTGCGGCCTAGCCTAAGGCCTGAGCAAAGCAAGGATTCTCACCCTCGGCGCTACTGATGTAGTGGTCTGGAGAATTCTTGGCTGTAGGGTCTGTCCTGTGCATTAGAGGATATTGAGGGGTACCCCTGGCCTCTCCCCACTAGATGTTGGTAACAAGCCCCTTTAAGTTATAACAGTCAAAAAAACATCTCCCATTGCCAAATGTCCCTTGGTTGAGAATAACTAAAAAAAAAAATAAATAAATAAAAGATAAAACAGCCCACTCTCCCACCCCCTGTCTCGAAGGTTGATTAGTCTCCTCTAGAAGAGTGTCGCTTGTGTCTCCATGCACTTTCAATGACCCCTACTTAGTTCTGTCTTGACATGATCAGGTTCATCCACTACTTCACATAATAGAATAAATTATTATTCCTAAATTTGGAATTATTCATTCCTAGGTTTGGAAGAAACCGAGTGCTTAAAATAACATTGTGTGCTAATACCGTGACAAACAGTTTAGTATTTCTCTGTGTTAATTTACTCTTAAGTTCTGTTCGTGTTTCTTGTTCATTTGATTGAAAGTGAGCTGTGAGTGTTCGTGTAGGTGCGAGCTATTGTCTGAGGGTCCTCAGTGGCCTCAGAGTCAGGCAGCTTTTAAGTGGCGGCCGCCCAATCCCATTTTCTTATTTTCTAGATGAGTAATCTGGGCAGCCGAAGGGTTAAGTGGCTGTCCACCCACGGTCCTATATCTGCTGGTGGGGTTGGAACAGAATGCCGGACAGCTACTTAATAAAGTGCTTTGATTCTTCTACCTCACTTAACCAATAAAAAAAAATGAGTGAAGACGAATGTTCTGGGCACCGATTTTTAAGGGCCTCTGAGAGCAGATCAGTGCAAAGGGTGGTGTCAGATTTCTGTGAAGTTCCTCCCAAAAGCATGTCAGGGAAGTGAGATACATTTCAAAGACATAATTTAGGGAGAATAAATAGATGTCCTCCAGTTGGTGTTGCTTTTTCCTGTAAATGATATATTCAGTAGCACCTGGGGGGTGGTGGTGTTAGGTCCTTCATGTCCTTCTAACCAACATAACATACCTAAGAGCTGACCTACCATTTCCTAAATGAGTGAGTGAGGGCTATAGACATCTTTGCTCTCAGCAGTGATGGTAGGAAAGATTTGAACAGATTGACCTGGAGTCTGCTTCTTGGAAGATAACCTACCGTGCATCCTGTTGGGTGATTTTAAGTTGCCACTTCATGAAACTCTGTTCCAATATATAGGTATCTATAGTTTTCCACTTTGAAAATATTTAGTACACCCTCATACACACAAAACATGGACTGTGAAGAAAGATCTAGTGTGTAGGTGCTTGTTACATTCTTTCTAGTACTTTTATGAACATTCTAATTACTTTGTAATAAAGGTTGCTAGTTATAAACATTATTCTTCCTGCAAAGAAGACACAGATACTCATTTATGGAGAGAGTAGCTAACTGTTTGTGTAGGTGTGTTTGAAAAATCTTGGAAATCTCCAATAATCGTTTTTCACATTTTTTTTTTCCTATTTCCAAGTACAGGGGAAATGAGTTTTAAAAAAGCCTTCACATTCCTCACCAATGTGTTCTTTGTCAGACAAGATTAACAAGGTTAAATATTTTGGGAAAAATTTACAAATTCATTCCAGTTCAGAGAAGATTGATCTGAAAAGTTTGAATTATAAAAGAGTTTAAAAAGAAACATGGTGTTAATATTTTCAGTAAGAATGGAAGTGGGGGCAAGTGAATTTGGGAATATTTTGAGACAGATCAACATGAATTCTAGTTTATTTGTTGTTTAATATAAGTGGTAATGTTTTGCTTTCTTAATAATAGCATGACAATTGGACCTTTTCATTGAGAACCTAAGTGAAGCTTATGAAGACCATTTTTATTCTCCATTTCCTCCTCAAATGTATTCCTATAATTCTACATAAATTTAAACTAAATCAATAAACTCATATTTCTACATTTCTATACAGGCCAACATGTAAAGAGAGGGCGTCTCAATTTAATGAAGAAATTGTTCCTTTCAGTGAGTGACGCTCTTGTTTCCTTCTTTTTAATCAACTTAGGTCAAGTCAGAAGAAATCTTTGATGAGTGGGTATCCAAACTCCGCCACCACAGAATGTATCGTCAGAATGAAATCGCCATGTTTCCACATGAGGTTAATCATTACTTCCCCGGATCCACTGTCACAGACTCAGCGTCTGGGGTCTTGGACTCCATATCAAGTAGGAAGGTAAGAGTTTGCCAGTAACGAATCAAGAAGAAGGTGGTGACTTTGTGCAAGGGAGTCCCTACTGGGGACTCTCTGAGGAGGAAGGGCTTGTGGGAAAGAATCTCTTTGCCCAGCTGCTCAGAACTAGGGCCAGAGGAGCATCTGTTGTCACTGTGACAGTAACTGAAAAAACACACGGAGGAATTTAATGGTGTCTCCAGTTGTCCCTTGACCATTCTGACTTAGGTTTTCTTCTCTGCTTGTAAAATGAAGTATGCATGTTAATAGCCGTATAGGATTATGAAATTTCTCAACATTTATATCATGATTTTGGTATGATTATCATTTGACCGAAGAAGAAATTCAGGACTGCAGCCCCAGGCATGAGAGCATGGTATGCCAGGCTGAGGCGACAGCCAGAGCTTGGGGGTCTCTAGTGGAGTGCTTTCTTAGAAGCTTCTTTCCCATTATAAGCCATGGCTTCTGTTAGCGACCAGCTCACTCCGTTGTCCTTTATCCTAATGTGTCCCCACGGGGCTCTGTTTTCATTTATAATATGCTTTTGTCATCTGTGGAATAGCGTAGCAGTATATCAAAGCAGAACTCCATTCAAACCGGAAGCAATTTATCATTTTCTTGTGCTGGTGAGACGCGAGTTCCATTATGGTTACAGTCTTCAGAGGACATGGAAAAATGCTCCAAAGGTAAAGTGACTTGAAACCTCTGCTTCTTTCTGTCATGGCTCTCAGATGGCACTACTTGAGTATTTACACCTCGGGTGAATTTTCCTGTCACTGGTCTACATTTCCTCTCAGAGCTCGCTTACTGAGTTTGCACAGGTGATGACCAAACGTTACTCTCCCTGCAGAGCTTCCCATCTTCACCTGGCTGTGCGTGCAGACAGGTTTCCTTTCATATTCTTTAAGTACTTACGTCTGATTTCCGTGAGGACCTACTAAATCGCTGTCTCCATGGGTGGGTTCTGTGCAGCCCTCTGGTTGTTGTCGATGTTATTGTTTTTAAGTACCAAAACGGGCTCCTGTGTACATCCAAGATTGGGAGTCATGGCTCACAGTGAGTGGACGAACCAAATGGAGTCCCCACGAATTGGAGTTCTCTCCTCTGATTGCACACACAATCACCAGAAGAGCATTTGAAAGGCAAGAATACCCACTCTCCAGAAGAATCTCTTTAAATTGGTCTGCACTTGGGCCCTAGCATCACTGATTTTCTACAGTTTCCCAAATGACTCTGATAAGGAGTCAGGATTGAGAATTCTTCCATAGGAAGCTTAGTGTTCTCAACCCTAATGAGCTAAGAACCACACAGGGAACTAAGAAACAAAACAAGTCACCAGTGGGATTGGGGATGTTCTAATTTAATTATCTCCAGATGGGAGCCAGACATATGGAATTTAAAGAATTTCCCCAGTGGATTTCAAAGCAGAGCCATGATTGAGAACCATGATAAGAGAAAGATGCCAGGTCTTGAAAAGTGCATTTTCTCTGTTGAATGCAGATACTATCACACGTGGGGCTGTATAAGATTTGCCCTCCCAATAAACGTCACGCAGGAGCTTCACTGAGTGACATTTTTGGCACAGGTAGTCCTTGAAGTGCCATCTCTGGGCCAGCAGCACGGGCCTGGCCTGCAAACTTATTTGAAATGTGAATTCTCAGACGGAATCAGAAACTGTGGGCGGATCTCAAGGATCTGTGGTTTAATCAGTTCTTCAGCTGATTCTTTTTTTTTTTTTTTAAAGATTTTATTTATTTATTTGACAGAGTGAGATCAAAAGTAGGCAGAGAGGCAGACAGAGAGAGGGGGGAAGCAGGCCCCTTGCTGAGCAGAGAGCCCAATGAGGGGCTGGATCCCAGGACCCTGGGACCTTGACCCAAGCCAAAGGCAGAGACTTTAACCCACTGAGACACCCAGGCGCCCCCCAGCTGATTCTGATGAGGCCAAAGTTTGAGAGCCATTGGGTCTTGATTTCTCAGTGGAAACAGCCATTGTCATCCAACAAACAGCAAATTAAGGACTGTCTTTTGAGTTAGGGACCAAGGAACTGGTGTGAGAACTCTTAGGTCCTCTCAGGTCAATGTGCAGACAATCACCACTATCTCATGTGGGTCCCTGATCGACAGGTGTCCTTGGAGACCAGTACAACCTTCATCTTTATTTCATTCATTTACTTGTCTGGAGTCCTCAGAATCAGAGAATGACACCCTATTATTGCAATATTGGACATAATGATGCTAATGATGGGAGCTGATTTACTTACTGCTGACAGGGTACCAGCACTCCAAAAGCATGCTGACCTACGTCAGCTCACAATTATCCTATGAAGGGGTGTATATATAATTCTCTCCCTTTCCCAGATGAGGACACTGAGGCACAGAAGTGATATAATTCGCCCAAGATTCAGAGTTCAGGAAGTGTTCAAACCAAGGCAGTCTTGTTCTCCAAATCTATGACCATCACCATGGCAGTGCACTGCCTCTTCTGTAAAAAAAGGAAGTAAGATTTCATCTCCATACAGATATAAGTCAAGTAGTAGGGAGAAATTTAAGAAGTAGCTGGCACAAGCACAGGGCAGCCTGGGTGCCAGCATGAGGGCTTATGAATCTTCCTTTTGCTTTTGTCCCACAGACCTGGCGCACTGTCATGCCTTCCTGGTGGAAATGAGCCAGCTCCTGCAGAGTATGGACGTCCTGCACCGGACGTATTCGGCGCCTGCCATCAACGCCATCCAGGTCAGCCAGATCCCTCTGCTGTTTGCACTGTGGTGTTTTTCTGCTTCCCTCTCTCCTCCTCAGCCTCGAGCTAACAGCGGGACGTTGTCCGGTCTTGGTTGCTTCCGCCACATTCCCGGGGATGGAGGTGGTCACTTTGCTGTGCAGTTTTCCCTCTTTGGTCTGGGAGGCCTTACTTTCTGTGCTCTCTCTCCTATTTTGAAACAAAGGGTACAGCTTTTGAAAGTCCCAAAAAGGAAAAAAGATCTCACAGGAGGTGGCGGTCCAGAGCTATTGGCAAAGACACTACAGGAACGCTGCAGGTAACCGCTGCTTCCCCTGCTCTCCGGGCCGCATGCTGGGGGCTGCGGGGACTCCGATAGGATTTTCTGCAGTCGTGCTCGCTAATAGCCTGTGCAGAGAGAAATTCAATCACTTCGATTTTCTGGTTGCTAAATAAGCATGTAATGGAATTGGGTAAGGGGAAATGGCATGAGGATGGAAGGAGTTAGGCCCTTTCTTGGACTTTGGTTTCCCCTTCTTTAATACCAAACCCACCTGCCCTCTTCCCTGCTTGTGTGTGTGCTTTGACCCACCTCTTCTGTGGCCAGTCGGGGGATTCATCATCCCTCTGAGCCCACTGGAGTCTCTGGAAATGGGACATTATGCAGACTCTCTTTTGCCTCTGTGTCCAACCTCCCAGACCCCCATCAGAGTTTCACTATGTTACACTAGCTGCCAATCTCCTGAGTGCACAGCTAAGCCAGAGGCTTAGATTTGCATCTCAGCCATTGCATATTAAATGGGGACATTGTTAAGGTCACATAAATCAGAGACTTATTGGATAAGTCATCGGCTATATTCTTGTGTGTTCTTTGGTTCAAAGCACTTTATGGGTTGAACGTCAGTACTTTCAAAGTGAAGAGTGATTTGTGTACAAACATGTGAGAAGTTAGCTTTTTGGAAGCACCAGATGCAAATTAAGGAAACATTCTAAAACCTAGCCACTGTTCACAACCTAGGTACTGGATGGCTATTGCCAGGAGGAAGGAATTGAACAGAAATGAGAAAGAGTGTGGCAGCTATAGCTGTCATTTCCAACCTAGAGCTTGAATGGTTCAATCATTTGCAAAAGAATATGTGATTTCTCACCCATTTTTATTTTGCAAGAAGTCAGAGCAAGTTGCTGGAGAAAGTGCTTTCCTGGGTTTTCATTTATTTTAAGTTATCACTCGGTAGAAAGATTTACCTATAAAATGTTCTTCTACAAAATTCTAATCTTAGTACCAAGTAAATATTCTAAGCCTCTTGCATCTGAGAAGGAATGTCTCCCTTTGGTGTCACTTCAGGTCCCCAAACCTTTCTCTGGCCCAGTAAGACTGCATTCCTCCAATCCTAATTTGTCAACATTAGATTTTGGAGAAGAGAAAAATTACTCTGATGGCTCTGAAACCTCGTCAGAGTTTTCTAAAATGCAAGAAGACCTGTATCATATTGCCCACAAAGGTAAATGAGTTTTCTTTTCTTCCTGATGTGTTTGATGAAAATGTTAGAGGCATGTCTGGGTATGGGATGTCCTTGGAGAGGGGATCTTAGTTGGTTCATCTTCTGCTCTAGTAGGATTTGGGGCAATCTAATTTTTACTTTATTTCCCTGTACTAGGGAGTATATTGACAGGAAGTTTCTTTTTTAAGTCCTTAGGAGAAAGAGTGAGAGCATTAGGTATTCTTTAACTCACATGCTGCTGGTGGCGGTATGAATTGGTGCTTTTCTGGAGAGTGATATGACATTATGTTTCGAGTTAAAAAAAAAAAATCTGCCTATCCGGCAATTCCACTTTGAAGAATTCATTCATAGAAATTACTTTCGAATTTATCCAAATAAAGAGATCTCTTATAGAATTGTTTATCGTATCAAAAATTAGACACAGGGGCATCTGGGTGGCTCAGTGGGTTAAGCCTCTGCCTTCGGCTCAGGTCATGATCCCAGGGTCCTGGGATCGAGCCCCACGTGGGCTCTCTGCTCAGCAGAGAACCTGCTTCCTCCTTTCTCTCTCTCTGCTTCTCTGCCTACTTGTGATTTCTGTCTGTCAAATAAATAAAAAAACTTTAAAAAAAATTAGACATAGATGTTCAACATCATTAGCCATTAGGAAACTGCAAGTTAAAGCCAGGATGAGATATTACCATACCCCTATTTTAGTTCCAAAAAGATGCAAATGCCGGTGAGGATATGGAGAAACTGGGTCTCTCACCTGTTGCTGGTGGCAATGCAGGATGGTACAGCCACTCTGGACGATCGTTTGGCAGCTTTATATAAAACTAAACATCACTTACCATATAAATCAACATTCACATTCCTGGCCATTTATCCCAGAGAAATGTAAACTGAAGTCCATACAAAAACTTACACGTACATGTTCAGAGCAGCTTTATTTGTATTTATTTGTATTAGCTGAAGATCGGAACAACCCAAATGTCCTTCAACAGGTACACGGTTACACAAACTATAGGACGTCCGTACCATGGAATACAGCTCAACAGCGAAAAGGACCAAATAATGATGTGTATGCCTGGCTGCCTGGGGGGGTCTCGAGGACATTATGATGAGGGAAAATAAGCCAGTTTCTAAAGGTTGTGTAGTGTATGTTTCCATGTATTAACACTTTTGAAGTGATAAGCTGATAGGAATAGAGATTAGTGGTCGCCAGGGCTCAGGGAAAGAGAGAAAATATGGCTGTGATCATGAAGGGGTAGCAAGAGGGATCTGGATGGTAATGGAAGGTTCTGTATCCTGATTGTGGTGGTGGTTCCATGACTCTACACGTGTGATAAAATTGCGTTGATGTGTATTTACACACATAGACACAATGAGAGCACATAAAACTGATGACATCTGCGGGCAAACTACAGATGTGACCAAGGTCAGTTTCCAGGTGTGGATACTGTAGCATAGTTCTGTAAGATGTCACCCCAGTGAGAAATGAGCTATAGGGTACCCAGGACCTCTCTGTACTGTTTTTGCAACTTCCTGTGAATCTATAGTGATTCACTATAGTGATTCAGAGCAGAAACTGTTTTTTTAATGGAAATAACCTAAATGCCCAACAATAGGGAAATTGGATTTTTTAATGTAATATAATTATGTGATAGAAGAGCCAACAGCACAGGAATAAACATATGGAGCACACAGCTCTGAGGTCGGGTATTCACTAAGTACTTTACATGCACTGTTTCATTTCACTCCAGCAGCAGCATGTGGAGCAGATAGTATTGTAATCTTCGTTGCACAGATAAGAAAGCTGTGGCTCGAAGAAGCTGAAGAGCTTCCTGAGTAAGAAAGTGGTAGGAAGTGACCCACTGACACTTGAATCCAGCCCTCCTGGCCCAGCGTCTGGTGTCTCCCTGCCCTTACACAGGGCTACTTTTACAGACACAGAAACATGTTCACAACACACCGTTGAGTAAAAATACAGGTCTTAAAACAATGTATAGGTAGGATCCTGTCCATTCGGAAAAAATGAACTATATAAATCTGGCACATAGAGGTGTATTAAACAGACTGGGAGGATCTACACAGACATTTTAGTGATGGAGACTGGACTTGCAAGGGCTTATTATCTTCTTACTGCTTATCTTTTTAAAAAATGTGATATATTTATCATTTTTTAAAAGGGCAGATGGGTTTAAAAGTTTTAAATGGGAAGGCAGTGGGGTGCCTGCGTGGCTTACTCAGTTAAGCATCTTACTCTTGACTTTGGCTCAGGTCATGATTTCAGGGTCATGAGATCGAGCCCCGGCATCAGGCTCCGAGTTGGGCATGGAACCTGCTTAAAACTTTCCCTCTTGGGGCACCTGGGTGGCTCAGTGGGTTAAAGCCTCTGCCTTCGGCTCAGGTCATGATCCCAGGGTCCTGGGATGGAGCCCAGCATCGGGCTCTCTGCTCAGCGGGGAGCCTGCTTCCCCCTTTCTCTCTGCCCGCTGCTCTGCCTACTTGTGATCTCTGTCAAATAAATAAATACAATTTAAAAAAAAAAAAAAACTTTCCCTCTCCCTCTGCCCCTCCCTGCCTTAAATTTTTTTTTTTTTTTTAAATGGGAGGGTAGTGCTTGAAGTGAGAGGAAGGAAGATATGGGCTCTGCTGTTTTATTCCCCTGGCCCCGTGTTTTTCTGCCACAACACTGTTGAACCTTTCAGGTCTCTCTTCCATTACCCCACAATCGTACGAGAAAACCTTTCATGTTCTTTACATATCCCCACCTCAACCAAACTCTTGTCCTAGTTGCTGTAATCGGTGTTGCCTTTTAGGCTTTATGGGAGGAAATCCCTGAAAAAGAGCATGACTTTTCAATAATACGAGCTGTTGGGGCACTTGGGTGGCACAGTCGGTTAAGCGTCTGGACTCTCGGTTTTGGCTCAGGTGGTGAGGCTGCGTTGGGCTTGCACTCGGCGTGGAGTCTGCTGGAGATTCTCTCTCCCTCTGCCCCTCCCGCTCATGCTCTCTTTTGTGCAAATAAATAAGTGGATCTTTTTTTTTTTTTAAGATTTTATTTATTTATTTGACAGAGAGAGAGATCACAAGTAGGCAGAGAGGCAGGCAGAGAGAGAGGAGGAAGCAGTCTCCCCGCTGAGCAGAGAGCCCAATGCGGGGCTGGATCCCAGAACCCTGAGACCATGACCTGAGCCTAAGGCAGAGGCTCAACCCACTGAGCCACCCAGGTGCCCCAAATAAGTGGATCTTTAAATAAAAAACCCCATGAACTGTCTTTTTACAAATGAGAGGATAATGCATCCCACAGCAGGGATATCCTGCATTTTATCATGGAAGAAGCTGCTCCCTCATCAGAGAGAGAGGTTGCCAGGTGGAGTTTGCCCCCAACTGCCTTACCCCTGCAGAGCGCTCAGCCTCCTGGACCATCTATAATGGGCTGCGGCCAGCTGCTCTGCCTTTCAGGCTTTGTCAAAAAACAGCTGGCCGCAGAGCTGCCACACGCCTAGACTAGGTCGAGATCTGTGCTCCCAGAAAGGTCCAGGTGTGCTTACTCAACAACAACAGCCTTTGCCTCGTGGGCTCACAGACTCGAATTGCACCGGGAGCCCAACAGGCTGTGTTTCCCTGCTGTGGTTTTCAAGTACACTCGCGTAGACTGAAGGGTCTCTGGGAGTCCCTTTCACACAGGCTGTGACTCGGAGGCGTCATGGGATGGAGACACTGCTCAGGTTTGTCCTCAGTCCCGGGTGCTTGTGTGCTTGCTCACTTCCATACATTCAAACTCAAAGCATCTTGACCTTTCCTTTCTTCCTGCCTGGGCCTGACCTGGTCAAGGACGGTTTTTGTGGTACTTTCTTGACTGTATGACTAATCTATCCACTGTGATTCCAGGGAAGGTCAACTAAATGTAGGAATTCCACTGATGGTGTAACATAGTCTGTGTTACCTACTTTTTCTTTAATTTGTTAAATGCATCTGCATTCTCTGTTTTTTAGAAGATTAGATCAAAGATTAGACAACCTATATATACCCATCATAGGTGAAAAAGTCCTTATATATTATAAATGGAATTTGATTTTTATGGCATATCTCATTGGTTCATGTGTCTGGCTTTGAGCATATGTTGACACACATTTAAGTTGACAGAGAACAAAATGTACTAAAACTTAAAAGTCATTAAGGAATTTACATTGCATATATTAAGTGTTACCTTTCTCCAAATATATTTCACAGAACACTTTGCACATAAAATGCTTTTAAAAACAAAGGAATTCCATGGTTAAAAATGTTTGGAAAACCCTGTTGACTATGGTCCCCTTTGAATTTGCCCAAGAATAGTAAATATTAAAGGCCCTGGGAAGTCCTGCAGCAGAGAAGTCAGCTTTGTTTAAGTCAGTGATTTTCAGTGTCTCTGGAAAACTTTCCCTCACTTCCCCAGTAGCTGTTGACACCAAGGAACTAAAGTTCTTGAGAAACATAATGCAGGAGCACAGTAAATAATAAACCTTTATGGAGCTAACCCTCTATACCATCTGAATCAGAAGGCAGACATTCATTCTAGGCCACTCTGTTATGACTAGCTGTGGAATTTTGAGCTCACCAATTAACTTCTCTGGGCCTCAGTTGCCTCATTTGTTAAATGTCCTAAAATATGGGGTGCCTGGGTGGCTCAGTTGGTTAAGCAACTGCCTTCAGCTCAGGTCATGATCCTGGAGTCCCAGGATGGAGTCCCGCTTCGGGATCCCTGCTCAGCAAGGAGTCATCTTCTCCCTCTGACCTCCCCTGTCTCATGCTCTCTTTCTGTCATTCTCTCTCTCTCTGTCAAATAAATAAATAAAATTCTTTTAAAAAAAAATCCTCTCTTAAAAAAAAATGTCCTAAAGTAGTTCTCCTGACTTTTGGGTCTCAAATTCTGTAACTATTTTTTGTGATTGGTTATTTTGTTCTGAATAGAAAGAATTCATGCTGTTGCTTATTGTTACAAGAAGGTTTTATGAGACAGTGTACTATTCTTA